GGTGCTTTGTGGAAGCATCTGTTCAAGAGGCATCATTCGCAGTCATCATAACAGGAAGCGAAAAATCCGTAGACAAAAGGAAATTTCGAAAAATTTCCACTGGGAAAAGTGGGTCTAATTTTAGGTTGATGAAAAGAAATCCAGTTATACAATGAAAAACTAGACGTTTGTTCACACATTAGTTTTACACCAAATGACGATTTACTGACTGCAGTCTGATTGCTGAGGACCTATTGCCTGCAGTTACGATTAAGCGAAAAAGCACAAATTGAATCGTCCGTTACTTGTCGAACTGTAGAAATGTGCTACAGAATGAACAAAATGACTGGATCTCTAAGAAATAACAGGTGTCCGTTCACAGCTTATCTATTAAGTTCTGGCTTGAACAAAGAAGACTCCGGCCAACTAGCCATTGGGTATTCCTCGTAAAACCTGCTTACGGCTGCTGCTAAATGATCAGCATTTTTAAAATAGTAAACTTGCATAGCTGTACAGTATTAAATTAAACTAGTAAAACCAAAGGCTCAGCTATGTTTACTGAGAACCAGAAAGCTTAAATGCCACTTTTTTTAAAGTTTTGTTCAACACTGCTACTTGTTTTGCCTGTCAACAATGGACAAGGATTTGTCCTACGAATAGTGTGCATCAATTAATTTGGTTATGGTAGCGAGTCCTTTTTTTTACGTGCTCATACTGTCCCGGACACTTCAATTAACAGCTGTAGTTCTTCAGCGCATAAATGTAGATATTTTTATTATAACACCATTTCGGCTACCATTAAAATAGAGACAGCTTGCCTGCCAAAGGTCAAGAAACCTGCCATTCATAAGTCTTTGTTGCCGGTGATTAACTTTGATGGGCTTTTCATTTAAATGTGCATCTGTAAAAAATTATTGTTGTGTACTTTTTCGTCGTTTAGGCATTCCTAGATAATCGATAAAAATTCTCAATGTTTGTCCGCAGTAACAAGGAATAAGTAATCGTCATAACAAGTATTTTGAAAAAATAACGTATACATAATTTCTAATTTAACTACACCTTTTTAGGACTCACCGTATACAATTTAGCGAGACGCATTCACTTCTGCAAAAATTTAGCAAATAAAAGACGTGATTGTCCTGAAAATTTACGGTAACTGTTGTTGTTACCGTACCGTTTTTTCACCCAATTGTCGGCGTTTTCATTAAAAATCACCCACGGTTCGCTGTAGCAAAAAGCGTCTGGCTTGCCCCAGTACCAACATCTCACAATTTCCCGTGTTACTTCTTAAAGCGTAATTGACTGTGAGAAATCTAACCTTTTCGTCGAATAGATTTTTTGCGTATCTATTAGTGTTCTTTTTTTTTTCTGTATTGTGTGCACTTTTTAAGTTCATTTTGTACTTCTGGCTGCAAGTAAGAAGGTTTTGTGTAAAGTTATAAGGCAATTTGAGAGGCCGTCCAAATTTTTTTTCATGATACCTGGACCGACTCTATTTAATTTTCCATATATTCCAGATGACCTGCCGCAGATGCGGAGGTGCTCAGAAGAGGGCTCGAATTGTATGCTATTTCACTGTACTAGTGCCATTGGAAGATAAGATGTGTACTTTTAGCTGAAGCTGCAGGTTGAAAGAGTCGATCTGTAGCTTTTTTAAAGGCATAGTTGACTGTTCTTTATCCCCAACCGTTTCTTACTAAGCAGCATACCATCCTTTGGGTAACCTAAAAGATTCACTATCCCGTCCTACCGGTATTTCAGGGGTAAGACATTAATTTTACGCAAAAATGTCATATCTGCAAGTAATCAAGTGAAAATTAGTAGCACAGCCTTTCCAACCTTTGTTCCTCACACTGTACAGTAAAACACCGATTTCGGTGTAACCAAATGGCGACCTAAAAGCGAATAGCCGGATAAATTTGCCTGCTTTTTGCCTTTTTAGAAGCAAATGAAGCTGTCTGCTCCTTGAACAGCGCACTTAGGTCGGCATGCTAAGATTTACTAAAAGATGAAGCAAATAATACTTAATTCAAAATCCAACTTAAGATTGTAGCAGGTGAAGCTAGAAGAAACGGCCATATTGAGTGCACTCTACACAACCAGTTGCTGTTGATCATCATAAGAACCATTTGAACTGCAGTTTTCGTTAGCAGCGAATCGAATGGCTTCAAAATAGCATATTTAAAAAGTAAATTGGCAAACTAGTAAAGCAGCTAAACTACGAGCACATTAAACTTTATAAGTGCATTTTGAACTACTTCTCTTTCATATTGGACAGCCTCGTTACAGAGAGTCTTGAAATTCTGACTGCAGACATAAGAAGATCAAGCAGATAGAAGAAGTCGATTTCTAATACTAGTGTTTATATTAACTTCTTTTTACTGATATCACTAAAATAAAAAAAAA